TTTCGAAAGAAACACATAAAAAACGACAGATTTGGGAACCCCGGCTAATTAGAGAAAAAATTTTCCGCTTCCCCTAAAAAAAAAACCCAAATAAAAACAACAAAAAAAAAGTGAATTTTTGCAAAAAATTTCAACAAAAAAAGCGTGGGGCGTTTCAAAATTAAAAAGTGCGCTTAAAAATTTAAATTTCGAAAAATTTTAAAAATCAATTTTTATTTCAAAATTTAGCAATGGTAAATTATAGATTAAAAATTTTATATTTATTTCAAAAAAACGGGAAAGGAAAGAATAGTTTGAAAAATTTTTGTGTATGAATTCCTCGGAAAATGGATAAAAATGTGCGCCCACACTTCTACTACAAAAAAGTACATTGGGTGCCAATTTAAGTAAAATGCATATGTCAAATCATTGGGTTTTTATCATGAAAAGCTAGTCTTTAAAACATAATTTTGGGCCCCGTTTCTAAAAAAAAAAAGAAAGCTAAATTGTTTTTCCTAAGCGCAAAAATGCCTTTCATAAAGGTCCAATAAAGCCTAGAATGTTTTATTTTGTAAAGCTTTTAATTTTATAGTTTTTTAATTTTTATTTTTCTTTATATTTTTATTTCCATTATCATTAACTGAACTAAACGTTTGCTTCTGTTAAATTTTTGCAATCAAGAACGGTGTTAATGGATTTAGTATTTGTATGAAAAGTCAAAATTTTGCTACAGTAAAATTTTAATACTTCACATTCAAACTCTATCTTTAGAAATAGCAGCAAAACAAAAATGTAAGTCTGCAATAAATGCATGACAAGTTTGCTTCTTTAAAAGAAGCATGCGAGAGGTCTTTTTGGCTGGTAGTTGAGAGATTTGTTGTATTCGAAAATATTTGGGGATATTTTTTGGCATAAAAAGACACATGAATGGTTATTAATTACAATTATTATAACAAAATAGACTTTTATTATTATATAGTGTCATAATGAAAGTTTGTTTTTTACACTTTCATTTTTTTTTAAAAATGTTTTTTAAAGATTATATGCGGAGATACTTTAAGGATACTTTTTCTAAAGAAAATAATTTGTGTTTTGCCATCAAACAAAAATTTAAAATAAATGATAAACACATGTATATAATTTATATTAAAAGTAGTTCAAACATAAAAGTGTCTTTGTAAAATTCAATAAGCAATTTTTCGGTTAATGTTTTGGGTTAGTATAGCTACGGAATGCGTAGGGCCATCGCCTATGAATGTGTTTGATCAAACACGCGATAGTCGAATAGTTAAGATGGTGAAACGCGAATCACGAAAACTACGATGGTGAAACGCGAAAGCACGATGATGAAAACGCGATACGTAGATGAATGGAAATCGGCGACAGTACGATACCTATCGATGAGAAAGCCGCGATAAACTATCGTGTTTTCACCATCGTACTGTCGCGTTTTCACACCATCGTAGTTTTCGTGATTTGCGTTTTCATCATCGTACTGTGGTAGATTCCGGAATGCCGTTAGGGCCATCGCCTATGAATGTGTTAATCTGAAACAGCGATACGTCGATCGTACGATGGGAAAACACGAAATCCGAAAACTACCGATGGTGAAAAACGCGATAGTACGATGATGGAAAACGTGAAAGTACGATGATGAAATCACAAGAGTACGATGGTGAAAACGCGATAGTGATGATGAAAAACACGACAGTACGATGATGAAAACGCGAATAGTACGATGGTTGAAAACACGATAGTACGATGGTGAAAACGCGATAGTACGATTGATGAAAACACGAACAGTACGATGATGAAACGCGAATCACGCAAATTTACGATGGTTGAACACGCGAAGTACGATGGTGAAAACACGATAGTTTATACGCGCTTTCATCATTAGTTATCGTATGTCGCGGTTTTCATCATCGTTCTTTCGCGTTTTTCATCATCGGTGCTTTCGCATTTTACCATCGTAGTTTTTGTGATTTTCGCGTTTTCACCAATCGTAGCTATCGACTATCGGTTTTCAGATCAACACATCCATAGGCAATGCCCTAACGGCATATCCGTAGTATACGGAAACATTTCCTCTACATTTTTCAAACGGGCATAAATATTGTTAATCAATTTTAAGTCCATAATTTAAACATCAAAATGTTTTATATCATTTGATTGGAATAAACGTATATAAAGCTGCATGCCTCCAAACCACAATTGATATTTTGAGGAAAATCTTGAGTAAAAATTTGTGCCATTTGCGCAAAAAAATCTCCGTTGCGTTATTAAGTCGTACATATTTCAAAAGTTTAAGAAGCAGCAAATTTTCGGTACACGGTTCTCTTATATTGAATGGTGATATTGTACCTGTTATGTTCACTGGTTACTATTTAATCGGAATATGAAATAGTAAAACGCTATTCAGCAAAACAATACGGTAATCTGATTTATACAATTAAAAGTTTAAGTGACGTAAATCGAAATTTTCCGTTTTTCTACGTACAGATTTGTTTACTTCGATGTTTATTTTTCGTTAAGTTAAGTCGAATTTGAAACGGAGCATGCGCAAACCATTTTTGTAGACTGCTCCTAATGAGATTCATTCACTTACAATCAGATACGCAAAATGGATGCCGCCAGCAAATAGGTCTGAACACTGTGAAGAGGTCTCGTGACCTCTCCAGTTAATGTTATTTCAATTCTTTTTAAGACTTGAAAAAATATAGTCCGAACTGGTATTTACAATGCCGGGAGTAGGGGAATTTTTTAGAAATGACTACATGAAATATATGTATAAATACCTTTAAACAATTAAATATAATTTCTTTTTGAAAAAACACTAACAAAATAAAATATACATGATACTTTAAATAGAATAATTTATTAAGATGCAAATAGGAACAGAATACAAAACAGCGTGTTCCGTTTCAATTAAAAACGAATAAACAAAAAATCAAAACAGCAATTTATTATTTTCGATGCATTGGCAATGGTATATGCTATACTATACATGTAATGATGTATGTTATATTTTTTGTTTCAAACAACTAGAAAAACAAGGGACTAGTTATTCGCTTTGTTCATATATTCGAGTCTGTACCGTATTTCTCGGAAATACTATTTAAAAATGGCTATACTCGAATGCTTTCAGGTTATTATTTTTTTAGTTTTTATATACTGTGGGTAGCTTATATAGTCACGGGTACTCTGCACCTTATCTCGTTAAAATCAGTTGAAATGTTGCGTATTCCTTACGTGGTGTAACTACTTTCAATCCGTATTAACTTCCGATGTTATTATAGATAATAGCCGTGACATTCCGATTGATCGCCACACGATACACTTGAAAAGCCGGTGCTATTTAAATTTTAAATTTACTATTTAAGTACTATTAACATACTTTTTGGCGTTTCTTAAAAATGCTTTTGATTTTTAGTTTTCTGTTTTAATTCCCAAAGTGGCTGATCGGTCGTTTCCATCTTTTTGCGTCTGTTAATTTTTGGCAATTTAGTTGTGATAGTTATATAGTATTTTGTATAAAAGTCAAATACTACTTTGTTGACATTTTTGGTTAATAATTTTACATTCACCGCTTCAAGTCATAAGCGGCTGCATGCTTAAAGTTATTTTAAAGGTTATAAAACCCGTGTTCAGAAACTTGATTAGACTGAGACATAATGTGCCTTTAGCATTCAGTAGCAGACACGGCATTAATGGTGGAACCGTAGCGTGATTTAGTATTTTAAAGGTTGAATCGAGTGCAGAAAAAATATGCTGTATTTCTCACTAAAGTTTGTTCTTTTAATGACATTAAAAAAATATTTATCCATTTTCTAATAATCATGTAAATTTATCCGTTTGATAATAGTCATGTAAATTCCATCAGTACTTTAAGTACTTTTGATTTCAATATGTGACGTCAAAACGCGCACTGGCTAGACTGTGTCTCGCAAGAATTATTGTCTACGACAAAGGCTGCGACGTCGCAGAAACACAACGTCTGCGACACGTTTCATAAAACGGTCGTACGACGTTGTCGCAGACGTACAGCACCGACAAAAAATTGTCGTAGACTACGACACGTTGATAAAACGGCCCCAGTTCGGTTTGATTGATCTGTAGCACAAATACAAACTTTATGTCATGCTGAACGATCTACTAGTATCAGATATATAAGAGCTTTGGTGTATGAATTTATGATACTGTTTATACGGTAATAAAAATCAAGACCTTTGTTTATTTAAAATTTAAATATTTAATCTATTGACGTATCACAATTTTTTTGTAAATTTACTGTAATTTTGAATTATACAATAAATAAAAACATCTTTATTATCAACTTAAACATGGTAGTTAAACTGTTTGGTAAGAAGGTATGCAATTTATATAAATTCTACTCAAGCCGGTGCTAGCGGGCCTTGCTGATGGACTGCTATCTATCAACAGCCTTAAACAAACATTACTTTTATTTGTGCTGTGTGACGAACAGTTATTCCTTTCCCACTATTGTATATCATTTTTTCTTCCTTATTAGGGACAGTGCTCAGCATTATTTTTTTTTTTAATTGAGATGATATCTGGCGACAATCATGATTTAAAAAAAAAAGATTGTTTGTTAATGCCTGTAAGGCATATTTTCAATGTTATACTATAGTATATTTAAACCGGTTTCGTTTACTAATCAATTTTGTTTGCAAATTGGTAAGACTTTTACTATCTATAAGAGTCAACTTAATCTTGGCTCTGGTATAAACCTCACAAGATTAACCAAGATATTAATAGTTGGTCTCCTTCAATTAATTTGGGTGTTTTTTTTTTTAAATAGCAAAAACTAATTTTTGTAAAAGTTTACATAATTTTAAACACTCGTCATTTTTGCTCGTTATTAACATTTCTTGTAATATTGCACCGTAAAATTTATCAACAAACTTGCAACTATGCCCTATTTAAATAACTTACCCTCCGTATTATATTTGTTTATTAGTGCTATTATAACCTTTTCGTACTTCCTGTTTGCGTTGAATGTAAGATGACATGAAAATATTTTAGGTATACACCAGTGACTTAAATCGGTGTTTATATACGAATATGGTGTGTTAATGAAAGCTATTTTATTAGTGTATTTCATGAAAAGAGATGTTTAAAAAATTCAAAATACATATACATATATTTGGAACGCTGTTGATCGTTTTAGATGGATCATGGGGCTATAGTAAGTCATTTATTTTTAATCAATAATATGTTACCTATTAACATAGATTTCTTATAAGCAACGAACATTCAAAGTTAAGAGGTTTAAGACAATTGGTTAAAACTCGTCTATTTGCTTTTATACATTTATTTAAATCTTATATGATGGTATAAACAAGACAATTGTAGTGTTTATAATCAAGCTATATCATTGTAATATAGTTTCGGTTTCAATGTGCCAGTCTATGAATGTATATACACAAAGTATGAGTATCAAACATAGTAGGTCATGTGATCACAAAGTACAATACTTATTATAAATAGAGAATATTCAATGAATGTAGGATTAATACCACTGTTTTGAACGAGTTGAATAATATTGTTTTATTCAAACAGTTCAATCAATTTAGTTTTGAATCTACACGAATGTAATTTTATTTTTATTACAAAGTTAAAAAAGTAAACTGTTAAAGATCCTGTAACACATTTTTTTTTATAGTTTTATATCATAAATATGATGTCCAAATAAGATTTATCAATTTTTTATGTTCCAAAAAGCATTATTTATAACGATATTACCGAATTTAACATTTCCTGTAAATAAAGGGAGGTAATTAGAAAATTATTTTCTATAAAGTCTTTATTCTCAATCAAAAATGAATGCATATATTTCAATAATTACATATAATGTGAACAAATATTTGCAGTACATATTTTACATATTCTTTGATGTTTGAAAATTGTTTTATTAACATAAGTATATACATATGTATTATTTCAGTTAAGTGTGGTATAAAACCTCAGTCACAACATACAGGATCTTTAATTTCAATTACGCGTCTTTAGTGTAACGCTAACATTAGCTTGCGTTTATGCTATGTTTGTATATAACGTAAATGACGTCACGTCATTCACTTCAATCGACGTTTATGCTGATAACAATGACAACTTTTTAAAATATGATTTCCTAAAGTGTAATCATACGTGACTTAAGCTTGCTTATGGCATTAATTATCTACATAATCTTCTTCTTTAAAAAGCAAAATTGTGCAGAGCCATTTCCACGTAAACCATTTCCTCGTAACTCATTTCCTCATGAGTATTGCACTATCAATGTAAATATATAAATGAGTAAAAATGATTAGAAATTATGCATTCTAACTGATTTAACTGATTTTAATACTATTTTTGTGTAAAGAAGATACAAAAATGATCATTAGCGTAAGACAAATTAGCAAAAACAGACTCAAATTAAAATCTAAATTGTTCAGCCTAACATTTTGTTTTTACTAAGTGCTGGTTTTGATCTGCTTGACCTAAGTGGTTATCTTGAAGCAAAGTTAGTTTTGTTGTATATTGTTGGCTTAAACAAAGAGTCTGGTAACAGAGAAAAAATAGGTAGATAGGTTAACTTAATAAGAATTAAACAACGTGGATAAAAATAAATGTAGATTTAATAAATGAGCCGCGTCATGACAAAACCAACATAGTGGGTTTGCGACCAGCATGGATCCAGACCAGCCCGCGCAGTCTGATCAGGATCCATGCTGTTCGCTTACAAAGAGAAACTGATAGCGAACAGCATGGATCCTGATCAGACTGCGCGGATGCGCAGGCTGGTCTGGATCCATGCTGGTCGCATACCCATTATGTTGGTTTTGTCATGACACGGATCAAATAATATGTACGCATTCACAAGAATGTTTTTCTATGTGCAAAAGAAATGAGCATCAACACAGTAGGTCATGTGACTTCTACCAGAGAATGTCTCATTGTTATTCATAGGCTTACAAAGAGAAACTGATAGCGAACAGCATGGATCCTGATCAGACTGCGCGAATGCGCAGCTGGTCTGGATCCATGCTGGTCGCATACCCATTATGTTGGTTTTGTCATGACGCCTTTCAAATAATATATATGCATTTACAAGAATGTTTTTCTATGTGCAAAAGAAATAATTATCAACATAGTAGGTCATGTGACTTCTACCAGAGAATGTCTCATTGTTATCCCCGCCGATGGAATCGGGAGGGGGATATAGTTTTGGCGTTGTCCGTCCGTCCATCCGTCCGTCCGAATTTCGTTTCCGGAGTAGTTCTCTGCAACTAATGGCTGGAATTCAACGAAACTTTATGGGAATGTTGATCAGCATGTGAAGTTGTGCACCTGGGTATTTTCGTTTGGATATTTTTAGTATTTTAGAGTCATTGCCCTTGACTTAGTAAAATTTTGCAATTTTCAACTTTTGTCGCATGTAACTCAAAAAGTATTTGACCTAGACTCATGATACTTTACAGGAATGTTGATCAGCATGTGTAGTTGTGCACCTGGGTATTTTCGTCTGGATTTATTTAGTATTTTTAGAGTAATTGCCCTTGACTTAGAAAATGTTTGCAATTTTCAACATGTGTCGCATGTAACTCAAAAAGTATTTGACCTAGACTCATGATACTTTACAGGAATGTTGATCAGCATGTGTAGTTGTGCACCTGGGTATTTTCGTCTGGATTTATTTAGTATTTTTAGAGTAATTGCCCTTGACTTAGAAAATGTTTGCAATTTTCAACATGTGTCGCATGTAACTCAAAAAGGATTTGACATAGAGTCATTAAACCTTATTGGAATGTTGCTCAGTATATTTAGTTTGTTCCTGGGGTTTCGCTTGTGGATTTATCCAGTATTTGTAGAGTTATTTCCCTTGACTTAGTAAAAACTGTTTCATTATGTTGTTATTTGATCCTTGAGTGCTTGAGTTAGAATCGACCAACTTTACAGGAATAGTGATCAACATCACTAAATTACAGGAATAATGATTCACCTCACTGTGAAGCTATGAACCTGGGACTATGCATGTGGATTTTTTTTCAGTTTTGTTAGAGTCATTGCCCTTGAATTACAGTAGTATAAATTTGCAATTTTCAACTTGGGGTTTGCTTGGGGATTTATTCAGTATTTGTTAAAGTTCTTGCCTTTACTTTAGTAAAAAGATTTTTAGTTTTTCAAAAATATTTGACTTGAGTCATAAGATTGACAGACAGTGGCGCGATGGGGGCACCCGTGTCCTATGGACACATTTCTAGTTTTATTAAAGAAGAATTAAACTGATTTGTTACCATAACATTTAAAAATATTTTGAAAATTGTGAGATCCCTTCTTGATGCCTTGAAAATTGCAATGAAGTCTGGAGATTAAGATGTTTTTACATCTAGGTGAGCTATTGTGATCCCCCACCGTCCGTCGTCGTGTGTCGTCAGCAATTTCTTTCAACAACATCTCTTCAGAAACAAATGACTGCACAGCAACCAACCAAACTTTACAGGAATGATCCTAGGGTGGTCCTCTGCCAAAGTTGATGAATGGTTCCGGTCTGTTGCATAAGTAGGTCACAGGGCCAGAAATGGAGTTTCAAAAATGCAAAATTAAAAAATCGTGTCTGAAAGTACAAGGCCTAGAGCTTTTATATTTGGTATATGATATAACCTATAGGTCCTCTACCAAAATTGTTCAAATTTTAGCCCTGGTGTCAAAATTGGCCCCACTCCAGGGGGTCATAGATTTTCCTTATATGTATATAGTGAAAACTTAAAAATTCTTCTTGTTTGAAGGAACAAAGCTTCAAGTTCAAAGAATATTACAGTTTATGCCATGATTAATATATAAATAAAGCCTTATGTCTTCAGTTGTTGTGTTAATAATAACCAGTACTCGGCGGGGGGTATAAATTCAACGATTTTGCTTGTTATTCATAGGCTTACAAAGAGAAACTGATAGCGAACAGCATGGATCCTGATCAGACTGTGCGGATGCGCAGGCTGGTCTGGATCCATGCTGGTCGCATACCCATTATGTTGGGTTTGTCATGACGCGGCTCAAATAATATGTATGCATTTACAATGTGCAAAAGAAATGAGTATCAACATAGTGGGTCATGTGACTTCTTCCAGAGAATGTCTCATTGTTATTCATAGGCTTACAAAGAGAAACTGATAGCGAACAGCATGGATCCTGATCTGACTGTGCGGATGGGCAGGCTGGTCTGGATCCATGCGGGTCGCATACCCATTATGTTGGTTTTGTTATGACGCAGCTCAAATAATATGTATGCATTTACAAGAATGTTTTTCTATGTGCAAAAGAAATGAGTATCAACATAGTAGGTCATGTGACTTCTACCAGAGAATGTCTCATTGTTATTCATAGGTGTAATCAAGATTAGTGTTGTCTACTTAGGTACGTATATTCCTTAGTGTTTAGCATTCATAGAGCTTATATAAGTATCAAATATTCAGGTAATTTTGATTCTTTTGTTTCCTGAAAACTTTTGTCTACACAGAACGTATATCGTTACATCAAAAGTCACTGGCATTTTTCTAATACGATTAAACATCATCAAAATTTTATAATCGACTTGTAGCTTCAATTTCCTGACCACACACAACACTAATTGTGAAAAAAATGAAAGACTAATTTATAGTTCGATTAAACATAACCTTAGTTTTAAAATCGACAGATAGGTTTTATTCAAATTTCAATTTTATTTAATTCCGCCCAGTGTTTTCTCGTTTAGGTTGAGGGCACACGTATTCTTTTACTTGAAGACCATATGCCGTTTTTCATGGAATGGCACTAACGTGTCACATTGAAAAAAATCTGAAAGCAAAATGATCTCTCGGAACCATTAATCACAACAAAATTACAAGAGAATTGCAGACTCGGTTTGAAGGTTCCATAATAACCGTCATATTAACACATCTGCTTGAGCCGGTGCTAGGGGCGTGGACGGTAACTTGCACTTTCCAGTACCGTCCATGAACAGGCTCAATCAAACCGAGCCTGCAATATTTTCAATTTTGCCGTGTTGGGCGTTCTTTAAGGATTATGTTTTTCTCTGTATTTTATTTACTTTGTTTCAGCTCGTATGGAAGACTATTGCAGCAACGAAATCAGCTTCATCGCGTACACCGTATATCAAACACAGCTTCAACTTACTGACAACAACCTATTTGAGAAACGAAATCCCAACCACCCATACGATAGGCTTGGTTACTGTGAAACAACCGTAAAAGGGTGGTACACATCCTTCAATAAATTAATGTTCTATTTTGAGGACATTAACCTTGACTGTGATAAAGGTCATCTTGAATTTTACGCTGGTGAAAGGTCATTTGCGAGGATTGAAGGTAACAATTTTCATTTTAAAGGTTTCCAATAAGAAAAAAAAAACTTTTCAACATTATTGTTTTTAACAGGCAAATTTTGTTATTAAAAGTATTAGATAGCTCATATCATAAACTCTGTAGATGTATAACGTTAAAATAACAAAAAAACAAAACAAAACAAAAAACAAAAAAACCCCAGAACATTTGAGTTCATAACTATACGAAACTTCTTGTACTATGGTTTATTTTATAATTCAATATACATTTCAATTTTATTTAAGTGCTCACGTGCCATAATGGCTGTATCATTTTTCTTGAGTTTTTTTTCTGTTTAGATCGTATTAAAATCTTACATCTAAGGGGTAAAATTTTATTGTTAATAACAAGAAGAGTTCTAATGTTTCTGAACTAAGGCTTGGAAGTCGACGTTTGCGGAAAGGCAAAACCAGAAGGTGCATTTACTGCTGACAGTCAATATATCCGAATAAAATATGTTCCCGTGAAAAACCAGATTATCTCTAATGTGGTCTCTATTGTTATTACAAGTTTTGGTTATAATGGTAGGTATAAATTTTTTTTGCTATAGTGATAAAAGAAATGATTTACAATGAGGTGTTAGGTGTTGCAATCAAAATGACATGTACATACTTAGTTTAACTACGTCTGTGATAAACTTCATTTTCATACAAGTGGTTGAAAAATTTAATTGTTATCCTGTATAAAGAATTCAGGCAAAATCCTGCAACTATTGTGCATTAATTATCTCTTATAATCACCCCTCACTTTTTGTGTACTGTTAATTTCCCATAGGCTACTGGGAGATATATATACTGTTAATGCAAGTGTACGGCGAGAAATTTGTACTGTTACAGGGTACAAATTGTTGTCAAAGACTTCAATAAGCATTAGGTTGCTTCCAGTCTAATCCTTTTCTTGTTTTGATTGTAAATACCATGTATGTAATTTTCATATGCTTATGTGAGGAATAAAATATGTTTAAACTAACAGTATTTTTAACAGTATATAAATAACACATGGGTTTGTGGGTAACAGTAAAAATATCATCCCGAGGAAAATACTGTTACCCGAGGCGTTGCCTCGGGTAACAGTATTTTTACGAGGGATGATATTTTTACTGTTACTCACAAACCCATGTGTTATTTATTTTATTACCCCGAACAAAAATACTGTGATGATCTGAAATTGTCAAATAAATCTAACTGTAACAACTGTCCTTACCTTTTAAGTTTTAAGTGTACTTTAGGCCTAATTGAGGAGTTTTCTTTTTCTTTTATTCTTTAAGCAAGTGATGATATCTACAAATCATAAAAATACAATAAGCTAGGTTTTATTTAGAAAACAAAACACTAACCCATTTACACGGTTATGATCTGTGAAATCTGATTCTTCTGTTTCCAGAATATTCTTAGCATGATTTTTGACAAAATAACGATGATATCCTATGTCTGTCCACCAAATCTGTAACGTTTCACTGATTAAAATTGTAAAATAATCCTTTGTTGCATGCTTAAATCGTCTGCATGTTCCAGTTTGACACATAATTATTTACATTGTAATTACTTCCGTTGAAAACGGATGTTCACTTTTTGACTATTCAACAAAAAGAAATTTTATACGCGAAAAGCACACCAGGTTGCAAACAACTAAATTTTATGAGTGTCATAGTTACTCCAGAGAAGAAATTGATGTCCTATCGGGGTTTAACGTTGAAAATAAGAATTAATCGAGAAAACTATGGCGGCCATTTTATTTCATTTTATTTAGAAAATAGACCACGTGACCAGATTTTATACTGTTAAAAAAACTGTTACCTATGTAACAGTACAAAATTCTTAGTCACGTGGTACACTTGCATTAACAGTAAAAATAACTCACAGAGGCCTATGGGAAATTAGCATTACGAAAAAAGTGAGGGGTAATAATATAAAATCTGGTCACATGGTCTTGTTTTCTAAAGAAAATAAAATAAAATCATCATAAAAAAATTTAACAGTTATTGTTTGGCGTAATAAAATAAATGACACATAGGTTTGTGAGTAACAGTAAAAATATCATCCCTCGTTAAAACACTGTTACCCTCGGCTAACACCTCGGGTAACAGTATTTTCCTCGGGATAATATTTTTGTTGTTACCCACAAACCCATGTGTTATTTACATATTCACTTACGTTATGATTTATTGTCTAATAAATTAATACAAAGCATGCAATCTTAATCCAAACATTTAAGAGTCGTGTCCAAGTTATGGTCATGAGTGTGACAATTCACGGTGTATAGACAAACAACTCGTATGCAATGGTTACGATTCGTGTGGAGATGGTTCCGGTTGTGTCACGCGCACTCGTTCTGTTACTGGTATAGTCATAGGAATCACTGTTGGTGTAGTGTTGGTCATCTGCTTATTTGTGTGTTGCTTATATTTTATCAGGCGCTCCAACGGTGCTGCTGATACTGTACAGGTATGCTGACAGTGTGACGCTTAAAGTGTATAAAGCTATACATCTGATGCTGAAATTATTGTTTGGATTTTAAAAAGGAAAACTTCCAAAATGCTTTTTGAAATCAATAAATGGCAATAAATTGCCTTAAAGCGAGTGGCGCATGCACAAAGTCATTGCTAATCGGATAAAACCCTACTAAAATAGCAAAATAGTATTTTGTTCCGGAACATTTTATTCTGTTTACGTACATCATATGTGTGTTAAATAACAGAGACATTTTATGTTACTACATTTTCGGTAATCAACCATGTAATAATGGTACCAATATCGTTTTATTTTGATACTTTTTATGAAAATATTTCATGAGATATAGATTTATACACTTTCAACAATGTTTGTTAAATTTTTTCAATTGATGTTTAAAGGGTGTTAGAAATACCCCATCAGTCTCATGATGTTTTTGTATGGCTTTCAAGTTCTAATATACATGTAGTTTATAATAATACTTAAAAATATGCCATTCTAAAACGTTAACTGCAAAGTGCTACGGATTGTTTTTGTTTGTTTGTTTATTTAATAGCTCTCATTTTTAGGTTTCAAATGGTTGGTTCAACGGTATTGACATATGATTATAAATAGACACGTTGTAATTCATTGTAATTGTTTTTAATTAGGCCAGTTCTTATTCAATAAATGTCCGTTTTACAACTATACATACGTGGGTTGTTTTATATTCTGGTCGTTCTGTATTTACTTATTCTTGATGACTGAATTATGCACATTTTCTTGATCTAGGCCTTTCCTAATATCTCCTTAACCCCATTTTCATTGACAACATATTGTTGTGAACATAATTCGCATTTAAAAATGATATTTTGTTGAAAGTAAAATTTTGTTTGCTGTCTTAAGCATTTAAATATCTTCATTTATTGCGATAAAGGATTTGATAATCAATTATTACGCTCAAGATAGAAACCAATAAGTTGCTCGAAATATTACATTTGCACACTCAACTTTTGCTATGCCCGAATGTTTTAGTGTGAATATATTTGGCAATAATTGATAATAGTGGTACAAATGTGTTTTTTTTTTAAATTTCAATTTTATGTCAAATCCATTTGATTGGACAAATTCTACATATTTGTCACTGATTTTGCAATAATTTATGTGTTATCAGTGAAGAGAACATATCTCCAGTTTTGTCTGGTCCACCTAACATACCCCACCGCCCATTCCAAACGGGCCTGGCGGTGACAACGATTCAAACTAATTCTTATACAGGGTATTTTTGATCGCAGATTCGTGGTGCATAGCCTGAGCACATAGACTGCCCCAAAAAGTATTAAGAAGGACATTACGAAGATGTGTTTGCTATTGCTGGATAATTAAATATCGCGGTTCAGCTGCTTAGGTCACCCTTTGTCTGCTTCCGCCTTGCCTGCTGACGGGTGTACATCACTGTTGGTACATTGCCTGACTAAATTGACAGTGTTGTCGTGTACACTAAGCGCCACACACGCATCACGGCATGTGTCAAACTGCTCCACCAGCCATACAGCCCTCCACATTTCTGCTTTACTCGAGTGCCGTTATATTACAGCGTTTGCCATGTCAAAGTGAAACGATTATATAAAGTCTGACATATAAATGACCATGTGATTGTATTATCATTGCATACGGACCATAACGTTTCTCTGCAACCACAAACGATATAAGACATACATGGGGTGCTTGCTTTCCGTGATCACGTGGCGAGACTTACAGGATAAGACATTTTGTTTTAGTTTAAGGTTAGGGCAATCTCAAAACATTTCTGTATCAAACTATGGAAAATAAATTATTGAATCCTTTTTGTATTATTCGTAGTATAGTTATAAATCTTTGGTGCTTAGCAAAAGTTTGAGTAGTATATGTTGTAGAAGTACAACTGTCTTTATGTTTTGATTTTTTACTTATGATGAATTCAATTTAATTAGCTATAAATGTTATAATAATTCTTGTAGAACACTTCATCAACTGTGCAAACAGCAACATATGTAAACCACGAGTCGAGCAGTCAGCCTTTGTCTGGTTCAATTGTTCCACCAATAATGACCACTGATCCAATCGCTGCACAAAATCATGTAACAAACCAAGATAACTACCAACAAGGCAGTATTCGCCCCATTTATGGCCTCAACGAGGGAACAAATAATCAATCAAATCGAGCACCTGGTGTTTCACATCCAAACACGAGCGAATACATTGACCCATCAGCCTCTCCGCCATCTTATGATGAAGTTATGGCAAAGTCCGAGATAAAATAAAGTGTTTGTGTTATCATAGTGAAAATAATGATAAATACCGATGCTAGCCTATAATAATTCTCTTCGAAATCAAACAACATAAAGTCAGTTATAACTTTTGGTAACTCAACTATTGAACGTTTGTTAATGTGATAAGACTATTTTTCTTTTGTAATTTACATTTTGAAAGGTCATTGAACGTTGTTTGTAAGAACATTTTCAGTCTCTCATATATCAACAAAAATGGACATTCAATGAACGCAGCCTTATTTAATTATAAGCTTATTTAATTAATAAGCTTATTAAAGCCCAGAAACACAGGACCGCTGGCAAGGAGCTAAGCAGGCAGGACACCAAACAAAAGTATGAGAAGTGACAAACCAAACGTAAATCACGGATGGGGCTAATTATAAAACATTAAAAACAGGAAATTATAGAAACAAACATGGATATTAGCATGTAGCAAAAAAAAAATAAAATAAAAAAAAAATAATAATAAAAAAAATAGAATAAATAAATAAAAATGATAAAATATGAGGAAGGTTCAATAAACTAAAAGTTTTCTTGCCCAAGGTTGCCACCGATATTCACGGTAATAAAACTCGAATTAAAACAATTTACATGTTATGTATTTAGTTGTGTTGCCTAGCATATTGCTTAATAATGCAGGTTTACCTTTTATTTAACTTTTAACTTTCGCCATCTTATGGTACATTCCAACACAATTTAATAAACAAACAATGACGAAAGTTAAGATATTTTTTAAACTAAAAGTGAGAAAAAAAATCAATGCTGTATATATGTTTTTTTATATTAATTATTTTATAAAATTGAAAATGTAAAATGCTCTATTACATAAAAATTATATAACTTGTGTAAGTTCGGGTCTGTCATAAATAATAAATTAACTTGTAAAACAACTTTTCGTTCGTTCAATATTTTGTACTTTTTAAAACTATTTTGCAGTATAAATGCCCCAAAAATGCCACTTAACTGTACGATGAGATGAAATGAAAATACCCGACTTGTATACGAGTATGTATGTCATAAGAAGGAATATCGGCTTTAGAATAAGCTTTATAAGCTTATTTAATTAATAAGTGTGATTAATGTTGAATAAGACTCTTATTCTTGGAATGTTGCTGGTACTTTTAGATGGATCATTCGGCAAAAGTCAATCAATAAGTCCAATTTTTACCTTAATTTTGATTGTTCTTTACTTCAAATATGATAAGGAATTTAAAAAGAGTTATCTTTGCTTACAATTTATATATAAAGATACCATTTTTTATTCTATAACACGAGAATTTTTATGTCTTCTAATAATACACGTACCATTTTAACCTACCTAATGTGTCAATGAAGCAATCAGTAATATACACAGATTAAAGTAATACAGCAAGGAGTACCCACATTTATGTTAATTTGTATGAACATTATTAAATCGTTAAGGCAGATTCATGCTATTTTTCATGAAAATTTTGAAAATGTTTTGGAATGTGTTATATTGTAAAGTAACTAAAAGGAAGCAATTAACACATTATCAATGGCACTTACAAACACGTAAATTACCCCAAAAAGGGTCAAAATATGCATAAATAGCCTTTGCTGCGTTAGTAACGCAGCAGAATTATAGTTCTAAATACTGAAAAATTAGCACGTAATATGTACGATATTACTCGAATCTTGAAATATTTTTACTTTTCCTTACATCTTAGTACATTTTTCTCAAGTTTGATATTATTGAAATATTTTGACTCTGATGGAGACTTCGGCCACTTTGGAGTTACCAGATATTACTTCTTGTTATTAAATAAACAGAGAAGAAAAAAACGACAGTGATTGTTCATCAAATTTTATTGAAATAATAAGAATCATGAAATATTAGTGAAAACTTTGAGGTCGTTATTTTTTATCCTTGATAATCTATGTAAATTATATGCAAAACAGAAACACAGGCATGAATAAACACATATCAATAAAATAGAAAAATTAAACTTACATAACACACACCTGCGCGTATATGTATGCATAGTACAGAAATAACAACATTCAAACATAAACACATTATTTTATAGATAAATTAACGTCTCAGTCTTTTTATACTTGGCACTCTTAAAGCAAATTTCGACTATTTTTAATCTATGTCCAAGCTTCCTTTCGCTAACTGTTTTAAATTGATTGAAATAAGGTAGCTTTACAACTTGAAATAAATATATTCAAATCCGTTACATGCAATTTACTTTATGTGTAATGTGTTCATAGATCTGACCAGATGGTTAATTTCCGTTATGAGCTATTTACTTCATGTGTTCAAAAAAATGACAAGACGGTAAAGTTTCGTCTAATAAATAATTAGTCTAAAATATGTATAATTACTCGTACATTGCATCAGACAAAAATTATCTCCCATAAAATTGTCTTAAATATTAAAATAAATAAATGTATCTAAAACAATTCAACTACTGCGCTTAAATAAATAAATGACAAAAAAAAAGAATAAAGATCAACAAGGCAAAGGCAACATTCAAACGACGAGGCCCCCGACACACTCAAGTAGGGCACCCAGAAGGCACTAAACAAAAACCTGGAGTAAACATAAGGGTGAAAGGAGTGGCACAAGTAATAAGGGCTGTAAGGGTGAAAAGGTGGGGAGGGGGTTAAAAATGGGTGAGGGGAGGGGAATTGAGAAAATATCTTCCGTCAACGACAATCCAACAAGACAGACATCAAAAAACATGTAAACACCCAAAACTAGTAACAATACAGACATGAAAAACACGTGAAGGAACACAGAGGGGACCGCCTTGGAACGATCAGTGGTAGTTAAACCAATGGGGAGTTTAAACCGGTTTTAGGCGCGCCAAACCTCACTCTTAGCCCCAATATGTTCCTGAATGACATGAAAGTGTAAATAAAATTAATCCCCGCCAAGTGAAATTCTAACAATGATCATGGTTACATTAGACGAAATAAATAAAACACATACAAAATTATGTAAATATATAGAAAAAGGTACAGCCTAATGACCATTACCAAATTACTCGATGCCTAAAAGGAAGGCAGAGCAACAAGAAAATCACCTATAAGGGCCCAACGAAGCAAGATAGAAGACGTACATTAAGACAATTCAGCCCCAAAGGGCTTTAAGAACTGTCCATCATAGAGTCTCCCAATTTATCCGCCAGATGTAATTAAAAGAGGAAAACGTAGCGTCCAACTGTAAAAGGGTTGAACAACAAGCATGCGGTATGCCTTAAAATAATTGGGTCATAACCTCATTTAATAAAACGTTTGATATTTTTAGTGAAGACGGCAGAAAAATTACTATGACCCATGATCCTACGAAGTTTGTAAACCACATCTCAATAGAAGTCAGGTTTGCTAATACCTAGTCGTAAAAGGGTTTTTAAATTACAATTAAATTTAAATTAAGTCTGAATTACGATGGTAAAACTTTGTAAAATATTTACGCAATTTATGATAGCGATAACCTTGTTTAAGAAGTTTGTTAGTTATAAGTAAATTGCGTTCATTAAAATCATCAAGACGACTGTACGCCCTAGCAAATCTAATTAATTGAGAAATATACACCCCTTATGATGTAGCATGAGGTACATCTCCATCTAAATGTGGATAGTTAACAATATTAAAATCAAAATCATCTCTTTTATCGTAGATTTTAGTTACTATAGTATTGTTTATGAGATAAATGTTTAAATCTAAAAAAATGAAATAACGTCTGAAAAGTTAGTTTTATTCAATTTAAGTTCACTGGGATTTATTTTAGAACCAATTGATCGAAATTAGGATTATTCATGTTAAGAATATCATCTAGGTAGCGAGAAGTGTTGTTAAATGCATGTATGAAGTAGCAAAATCCCTTTCATAGCAGTAAAGAAATAAATCAGCTATCAGGGGGGCCACAATTAGTTCCGATTGGAATGCCTATCATCTGTTTTAAAACTGTATTACCAAACCTGACATAAAGATTATCAAATAAAAAAGAAGTTCCTAAGTACGAACTAGCCACTTATATCTAAACTAAAATTTTTGCATAGCAATTTACAAACCATTTAGTCAAATTATGTACAATACATAATATATATACGTGTATATGTCAGTTGGATATTTACAAATCAACAAGGCAAGATAAGAACAAGACCAAAAGTACATACACAGGTCAGTCAGGTAGAGCTATTTACAAACGCACAAGGCAACTTTTGTACAATAAGAATCCAATTTACACATTTTTGTACTTGCAAATTGACTAAATCTACATTTCATGTTAACTACATTTTTTAAAGAAAAGACATAAACCAAGCTTTCCCAAGAAAGACAATGTAAATTGTCTAACTTTTCTCTATAGTATTTACAACAGGCATCAAATCACTTGATATGCAGTCAATAATTTAGGATTCATGTAACTGATAAAGACTAACACTGTTGAAATGACTACTATATTTTGTTATCAATGGCATGTAAAGCAATTTACTTTATGTGTAATGTGTTCATAGATCTGACCAGATGGTTAATTTCCGTTATGAGCTATTTACTTCATGTGTTCAAAAAACTGACAAGACGGTTAAGTTTCGTCTAATAAATAATTAGTCTAAAATATGTATAATTACTCGTACATTGCATCAGACAAAAATTATCTCCCATAAAATTGTCTTAAATATTAAAATAAATAAATGTATCTAAAACAATTCAACTACTGCGCTTAAATAAATAAATGACAAAAAAAAGAATAAAGATCAACAAGGCAAAGGCAACATTCAAACGACGAGGCCCCCGACACACTCAAGTAGGGCACACAGAAGGCACTAAACAAAAACCTGGAGTAAACATAAGGGTGAAAGGAGTGGCACAAGTAATAAGGGCTGTAAGGGTGAAAAGGTGGGGAGGGGGTTAAAAATGGGTGAGGGGAGGGGAATTGAGAAAATATCCACCGTCAACGACAATCCAACAAGACAGACATCAAAAAACATGTAAACACCAAAAACAAGTAACATTACAGACATGAAAAACACGTGAAGGAACACAGAGGGGACCGCCTTGGAACGATCAGTGGTAGTTAAACCAATGGGGAGTTTAAACCGGTTTTAGGCGCGCCAAACCTCACTCTTAGCCCCAATATGTTCCTGAATGACATGAAAGTGTAAATAAAATTAATCCCCGCCAAGTGAAATTCTAACAATGATCATGGTTACATTAGACGAAATAAATAAAAACACATACAAAATTATGTAAATATATAGAAAAAGGTACAGCCTAATGACCATTACCAAATTACTCGATGCCTAAAAGGAAGGCAGAGCAACAAGAAAATCACCTATAAGGGCCCAACGAAGCAAGATAGAAGACGTACATTAAGACAATTCAGCCCCAAAGGGCTTTAAGAACTGTCCATCATAGAGTCTCCCAATTTATCCGCCAGATGTAATTAAAAAGAGGAAAACGTAGCGTTCCAACTGTAAAAGGGTTGAACAAACAAGCATGCGGTATGCCTTAAATAAATTGGGTCATAACCTTCATTTAATAAAACGTTTGATATTTTTAGTGAAGGACGGCAGAAAAAATTACTATGACCCATGATCCTACGAAGTTTGTAAACCACATCTCAATAGAAGTCAGGTTTGCTAATACCTAGTCGTAAAAGGGTTTTTTAAATTACAATTAAATTTAAATAAGTCTGAATTACGATGGTTAAAACTTTGTAAAATATTTACGCAATTTATGATAGCGATAACCTTGTTTAAGAAGTTTGTTAGTTATAAAGTAAATTGCGTTCCATTAAAAATCATCAAGACGACTGTACGCCCTAGCAAATCTAATTAATTGAGAAATATACACCCCTTATGATGTAGCATGAGGTACATCTCCATCTAAATGTGGATAGTTTAACAATATTAAAATCAAAATCATCACTTTTATCTCAGATTTTAGTTACTATAGTATTATTGATGATAGAAATGTTTAAAACTACAAAATATGTAATAACGTCTGAAAAGTTAGTTTTATTCAATTTAAGTTACCTGGGATATATTTTAGAAACAAACTGATCGAAATAAGAATATTCATGTTAAGGATGTCATGTAGGTAGCGGGAAGTGTTGTTAAATGCATGTATGAAGTAGCAAAATCCCTTTCATAGCAGTAAAGAAATAAATCAGCTATCAGGGGGGCCACAATTAGTTCCCATTGGAATGCCTATCATCTGTTTTAAAACTGTATTACCAAACCTGACATAAAGATTATCAAATAAAAAAGAAACCAATTTACAAACCATTTAGTCAAATTATGTACAATACATAATATATATACGTGTATATGTCAGTTGGATATTTACAAATCAACAAGGCAAGATAAGAGCAAGACCAAAAGTACATACACAGGTCAGTCAGGTAGAGCTATTTACAAACGCACAAGGCAACTTTTGTACAATAAGAATCCAATTTACACATTTTTGTACTTGCAAATTGACTAAATCTACATTTCATGTTAACTACATTTTTTAAAGAAAAGACATAAACCAAGATTTCCCAAGAAAGACAATGTAAATTGTCTAACTTTTCTCTATAGTATTTACAACAGGCATCAAATCACTTGATATGCAGTCAATAATTTAGGATTCATGTAACTGATAAAGACTAACACTGTTGAGATGACTAATATATTTTGTTATCAATGGCATGTCTTTAGGATGATTTTCTGAACGTCATTTACAAGTACTCTTAAAACTTATATGAATTGCTGAGAACAAATCTTGCAGAGTTTTTTTTAGAACTTTCAGTAAAAAAATTCAATTAAAAAATGTTTATACTTTACTTACTGATAATATTCTTTGCAAACTTCGTAATTTTCTTCTTGATTAACATATTTTTGCGCAACATACGTATTTTATGAAAAACCAGCATGTTGTCATTTGTGTCACTGAACAATGTGTAAAATGCTAGTTTTCAACAAGGTCACCAGAAATGTGTAATAACTAGAGCAATGTGAATGTGATTCTTTTTTTTTAATTACATGGAAATGCTATGTAGTTTTCCTGTTTACAAATAAGAAGGTGAATAATGCTTATACATTTCTCCTGTGGAATTTTCAATAAAATGTTTCTGCCAGTAAAAATATAACACAGAGTAAAAGAAAAGTAACAATTTTGCTTTTGTCTTCAAATTTACACACTTGCTTTCTTAGTTATCTCTTCTTTAAGAATGCCGTTCTATATTTCCATTGCGTTAATCTTAAACTGCCTTGCACCGCTTTCGTTTAGTAAACCAAGCTCTACTATTTTGTGTATTTGTCTTGTATTCAATATTGAGACTGCCAGCTGCAATTGAAAAAACAAGAAAAGGAATTTTGATGATTTACCAGTACCAGTACGTATTAAGAGAATCACTGACAAATAACAGAAAAAAGTGAAAAAAAATCATTTAAAAATAAAATATTACACTTGGTATTGACCAAAATATATATTTAGACATATAGAACATACAGCCGATAATGAAATCTTAACACTAAAATTTCTTTTCTTCTGATCCCGAGAATTAACCATCATTGTTTTACACTTTATTCTTTTTTTGAATATAGTACACACTTAGGCCTTACTCTTTCTTGCGAACCAAAATGACATGAAAATATTTTTAATTAAACACTACCATCGCTACGTGTGTGGTGTACGGTAAAACGAGCGAACGGCATTTCCGAGAAAGAGCGGAAGGCTGATTCAAACGGCTAATTGTAAGTTTTTTTATGTTTTTGTCTTATAATTCATTAAAGTTGTATTTAAAAAAAAAAACGATCAATGTAGTTCCGTGAAGGATTGATTTAGGCTTCCAGTACCGTCCATGAACAGGCTAAATTTTACCATTTCATGTTTAAATGTTGAATTCTGCATAAGTCGGTGCTAGGGGGCGTGGACGGTAACTTGCACTTTCCAGTACCGTCCATGAACCGGCTCAATCAAACCGAGCCTGCAAAATTTTCAATTTTGCCGTGTTGGGCTTTCTTTAAGGATTCTTTATTTATCTATTCTATCAAACTGAACCTTTAGCGTTTTACAATTTTGTCGTGTTAGGCTTTCTTTTGGGATTCTGTTTTACTCTATTTCATTGTCACATCCGTGTTATATGTGCCGTGTGGCGGCTGTAAAAAGTTTCCCCGTACATTTAATCAATGATGTTATATTTTCGATCCTTAACGATCGTTCATCACGACATTATTGTTTTGTATTCATTTTGATGGTGTTTTTAGTTTCTTGTGTTTGGCCTTTTTCAACTTGGGTGGTTTCTGTTTTCCTCTTGAATACTGTATAATCACCCTAAGAATATGTTGCCTGCTTTTTAAATTTGTCTTTTGACGTCTTATCTGTGAAATGCAGGCTGCATAACCTCAGATCCCCTTTCAAAATTCCATTTTATTTAGTTCCGCCCATTGTTTTCTCGTTTAGGGCACACGCATTCTTTTACTTGGGGACCATACGCCGCTTTTCATGGAATGACACTACTGTGTCACATTGAAGGTTCCATGAAAACCGCCGTATGAACACATCCGCCGATGTTTTTAAATTCAAAATTTCACCATTTTAGTGTTTAAATGTTGAATTCTGCTTAAGCCGGTGCTAGGGGGCGTGGACGGTATCTTGCGCTTTTAAGTACCGTCCATGAACAGGCTCAATCAGACCGAGCCTGCAACATTTTCAATTTTGTCGTGTTGGGCTTTCTTTAGGGATTCTGTATTTATTTTTATTTCCATACACCACAATTTTAAAGTGGAGCAACAGTTTGTGGACGTGGAAAAGCGGCATATGGTCCCCAAGTGAAAAATTGCGTTTGCCCTAAAAGACAAAATAACAAGAATAAAGATCAACAAGGCAAAGGCAACGTTCACAGGACACCGCCCCCGGACACACCCAAGCAGGACACCCAGAAGGCACCAAACAAGTACCTGGAGTGGACACAAGCCATATAATATCCGCGATACAGATGAATTGTGATGTTGACGGGCGGAAGGAATCACAAAAAGTTTGCAAGGGAGAAAATGTTCAAAGCTGTAGATGAGAAGCTAGTTTACATGTCATCTGTAAGAAAATCTGGAAACAAAGTGATCCCTCAGAAGCATTTATCACAACAAAATTACTAGAGAATTGCAGACTCGGTTTGATTGAGTCTGTACATGAGGGATAATGAATTAGTGCAACATCCCTCACGCCCCCTAGCACCGGCTTCAGCGGTACTCAATTCTCAACACTTAATAGTTCTGGCATCAATGATCCCGAAGGACCAGAAAAATATAACAACACTGAAGTGAAGTAAGTGGCTACTTTTCACAGTTGAAATCTTGCGTAATCCATGCCGGAAAACCATGGGGTCCGGACAGTATACAGTGGAATACCGTTCGATAGCTGACTGGAATTCATTCGGCTTTTATCTGTACACCTTACAGTCACCGTGCAAGCCTGCCAGATATCGATGGACATTTATCACACGATAATAATCTATTGCCTTAAGATTTTCGGAAGGTATCCAAAAGATGATCAGATGAAATTGTCAAAAGGTTTCATTGACGTATGATGTGACGTAAGCAGTAAGAGGTATAACATGAAATTAAAACGACAAAAGATGAATCCACTTACCAAAAAGTTTCCATGATTCTTCTCTGCATCGGTTTGATATCCCCTGTAAAATGAACGATATGAAATAATATTATCCAGGAATTGAAAACAAAATAATGATAGGTCTTTACGTTCTATATGAAAGGCGCAACAGTTTTAGAATAAATATTTTGCGAAAGAATTATTTCATTTAAAAATAAATTTTGAATCATTGGTATCGATTATAAAAATGAATCATAACGAGGATATATAACGGCCTTTTTATATAATATCTCGACTAAATATTCTAAAGTGCATTTAGTCTTTTAATTGAGTACCGCTCAAGCTGGTGCTAGGCGACGTGAGGGATATTGCAGATATTCACTTTCCCTCCATCAGGGGGGGGGGGGGGGAGGGGGGATCAGTACACGTGAGCTTTGTATAGTAATACCCACAGAGAAAATGGCGACTGCTTGAGCCCCGGGTAAAGTACCCTTATTATGTTAAATTAAAGTGACAAACGTTTCTTAAATCAAAACTTAGCGCAATCTTAGATGCTAGGTTTCAAATCACACCGTCAATATCACGACACCTGAGTAAAAGCACTGATGTTTTGTAAGCAAGTTTGGTGAAAGAATTCAAGGAAGCTGGTGTTACTAGAATCCATAGCGGTGAGAAGCAAATATAAAAAAATAATGGACTTGAACCGCTCGGCCATGGACGCCCTAAATATCTTAGTTACATAATCTATCACAAACAAAAAGTAAGAGTTTACGAGCAACACATTTTCACATGGTAAGAAAATAAGCGAATGGTAATACAATGTACATAACTTTTTAACAAAACCGAGCCTGCAACATTTTCAATTTTGCCGTGTTGGGCTTTCTTTAGGGATTCTTATCTCACTCTATTTTCTTGGGTATATTTATAAATTCTGTCATTGTATAAAAGAATAAATCCAATAAAAAACTTTTTATACCAGTTCTATGATGTCATTAAATATCAATGTGATATGGCTAATGTCTTCTCCTTTGCATTTTAAGACTAAATTGCAGATACTGAAAAGTAAATGATAGTGTTGTAATATTTCCTTCTGCACAGTTATTTCTTTAAATATCTAGTTCTACAGAGGACGGATGTGGGTCCGATCTAACGTGAAAAAGGGCCATGTGGAACGTATATTGTTGAGTATCAATGTCAATGTCTCATTTATTTTTTTCTAAGTTAAGTAATCTTTTATGAAATTACATGTATATGAATACATGTATTATGAAATAATATGAATTATTATTAAAATACTTTCTCGATATTTGTTTCTCTGTCACTGTAGACGGAACACACTTGCAAATTGGTAAACAAAATAATTATAAAATAGATTCGTCACATTTTAGTAAGCTATTGTGCGTGAAACTTATTTTTTTTGTTTTTGTGCAACTTACTATCCAGAAATTGTTCGTTTTACTTACTAAACAATTGTAGGCTACAGACCTTCGAAAATATTTTATATGGACTTCTACAAGTACAGATGTCAATAAAATGATTGATTCGGTGTCTTAAGTGCAGAAAGAAAGCTTATTTCATTTATTTTGGTACCAAAATATATCGCTTCGTGCGAATTACTATCGCTGAATGTACAATTTTCACACAATTCAAACAATGATCTCAAAAACCACAAAACGTAGGACAATGCACTTTGTATTGTCATTTGAAGAAAATTACCGCGCATATGATGCGCTAGGTTTTGTTTTGATTTAAGAAACGTTTGTCACCTTAAATTAACATAATAAGGTACTCACCGGGGCTTAGCAATCGCCATTTTCTCGTGGGTATTACTATACAAAGTTACGTGATCCCCCCCCCCGTGCTCATGTACAGACACAATCAAACCGAGTATGCAATTCTCTTTTACTTTGGGACCATCAATCGCAACTACTCGGCCCTTTCCGTCAGTCTTCGGATAAAGACCTCGAACACAATATTATGAATACAGAGAACGGATGCGGTATTTCGGTCTCAAAATCTGGAAACAAAGTGATCCCTCGGAAGCATTAATCACAACAAAATTACATAAGAATTGCAGACTCGGTTTGATTGAGTCTGTACATGAGGGATACTGAATAAGTGCAACATCCCTCACGCCCCCTAGCACCGGCTTGAGCGGTACTCAATTCTCAACATTTAATAGTGCTGGTATCAATGATCCCGAAGGACCAGAAAAATATAACAACACTGAAGTGAAGTACGGGGCAACTTTTTACAGCTGCCACACAGCACTTCCCTACGCTAAGAAACTAAACATGTAAACAAATTTTAATTTAATGCTGGGAGTTGTTGACAAGTTTATTTCCAACATATGTAGTAAAAGTCCACCTCAAATAGTGAATTCATTGGTACAAAAGCAAACAATACATCATTAATATATTAATTATTATGGTTGTAGAAACCGAAAGTACAAAAAACCAACCTGTTGACATTTAGTCGGATTTGTTTAAAATTGAACATCAGTGGGCATATTTAAATTACAAATTGTTGTCAGACATATTTTCAAGCATAAGAGTACCGGAACATAATTAGATGTCAAATATATACATTCTTTTTACATTATCTCTGTTTCTGTTTACAACTGAAACCTTGTGGTAGAAGTACTTTCAATCCGTATTGTTTCCGAGGTTATTATAGATAATAGCCGAGGCAGTTCCGAATGGGGGACCATATGCCGATTTTTCATAGAATGGCACTAACGTGTCATATTGAAGGTTCCATGATAACCGCCATATAGACACGTATGTGGATGTTTCAAAATTCTAAATTTTACCAGTTCATGTTAAATGTTGAATTCTGCTTAAGCCGGTGCTCGGGGGCGTGGACGGTTACTTGCAGTATCCAGTATCGTCCATGAACAGCCTAAATCAAACCAAGCCTGCAACATTTTCAATTTTGTTGTGTTATTTTTACTCTATTTTATGCAAATATACTTTTCCCATTAGTTTAAGTTCACGAAAAATAAATGGGGAAAATATTAGGAATATATAGATCTTTTCTCGCAACCGGCGACAACAGATCAAAGTGTTTCTACACTTTATTTGAAACAGTCTATTAAGAATGAAAAAAAAAAACCATATATTCACATGCAATGTTGAGATCCAGTCTGCGAATAAGCCGTGTGTCACGTCCTGTTTGGTGCCCTGCTGGGCTCCTTCCTGGTTGTGCTGTGTCGCTGGGTTGTGCTGGGGGTTTTGTTCATTGAATGTCACATTTTCTTGGTGATCTTGTTTTGCATGTATTACCTGAATCGATTTATTATAAGGGTTTAACGCTGTTCAATCAAAGATCAAGTGGGATCGCCACTCTCATAAAAAGTCAACGGGTTTTACAATAATAAAGAATAATCAGAATCTACAAACAAAGCAAAACACGACCAAATTGAAAACATTGCAGACTCGGTTTGATTGAGCCTGTTTATATTTGATATATAAGGGTGATGATTTTTCTTTTTTCGTGTAAACGAAAGGAAATAATCACCCACGGGTGATGATTTTTCTTTTTTCGTATAAACGAAAGGAAATAAACACCCACGCCTCTACGTTTGACTGTATATTTTAATTGATCTTAGTACCAAACTATCTAACTAGCACACTCACTCACTCCTGCTGACATACCTTTCGTAGACCTTATGAACTCAATAACGGGATCGCAGATTACAGCGCATATTTTCGATTATGTATTTTTTATTTTTCTTGTTCTACATGTCATGAGAAAGAACCAAATAGTTCGCCAGTGGTGCATACTTAGCGTTAATAAATAGTGTTAAAGCTAACCTTTGAATCTAATATTGGTCTCGAATTTTCGGCTTTACATCTAAATTTCCGAAGACCATTTTTGAGTAAAGATTCTGTCCACGCAGACCATGAAACACTTTCCTCTTTTCCTGTTTTTTCAACCGCCTTAGCGATGGCTGATAAAGCATCTTGTTTTATCTGCGTCACAGATGTTTGAAAATCAGCGATATCGTCACTTTTTTGTTCGTCAATGTATAGTCTTCTCTCCGACATAATATTTTGCAAGACCTCTGTCTCAGCTTTTTTAATTTCGAATAAACAATCATTCGTCATCTCGACAATGTCTTCTTTTGAGTGCGCACGGGCAGTGTTAATGTCAGATAAACCATGATTTATCTTTCTAGCAATATCTCGTTCTGCACTTGCACGGGCTATGTTTATGTCGGATATACCTTCATTTTTCTCTACAGATAAAGTTTCTTTTACAGACGTCCCAGCGATTTCAACCTCAGTTAAAGCTTTTTTCGTTAATTTAACAACATCTTCTTTTAAATCATACCACACAGCAAATGCCTTTTCATCTAGTTTACGCAATGATTCTGCTGTTCTTTCGTCAAGTTCAGTCAACGCCTTGTTTCTATTCTCAAGAAGTGATACAGTGTCTCCCTGGGTAATGTGTATTGTATTGTTTTTTAACTGTAAAGCAGATGGATACATAAGCGAAATATACTTTGCTTACAAAACATTGATGAGTTATTTTTACAGTGTAATAATACTATTTAATGTTCAGGTATGTTCATCAATTTTGGGTAAATCACTTGATTTTAGACATCTCAAGCACGTTAAAGCATATACATGTATATATATATATATATATATATATATATATATATATATATATATATATATATATATATATATATATATATATATATATATATATATATATATATATATATATATATATATATATATATATGATGTGATGTGAGGCTTCAATGATAAGGATTACCTCACACACATGCACACATGCACGCACGCGCACACACATACAATTACAATCATTAGAAGTTAATATCAAATAATAACAAGCAATTATCATAGTATTGCAAGCAATCCATAAGTCCCCTACCGGTTAGAACCCCAGCAACTTTCTGAAGGGCCATTGGCCATTCACTTATGTTTCTATTTTAAGTAAATTTGTTGAAAAAGTTCTTAAAAAGTGATCACAGGAAACAGTTTTTATGTACAGACAGACAGACGGACTAAAGGACACTGAAGGAGCTGAAGAAAATCCTATAATGATTGAAGAATTTGGAGTAAAAATTACCAATTTCTCGAAAAAAAGTTCAAAAGGGGCATAATTCTGGAAAAAGTCTTGCTAGAGTATTGACCTTTCTCACAATTGTTGAGTGATAAGAAGAAACATACATATGAAGTTTGAAGTAGATACATTCAGAAAAAAAGAAGTTATTAAAAACAATTATTTTTTTCATGAAAATTTTAAGCTCAAGGGAGGTAATTCTGATAAATTTTGTGCTAGAGTTGTAAACCTTGTCACATATGATGTGGTTGATGACTAGCAACTTATATTTAAAGTTTGAAGAAAATATCTTACGAAAAAAAGAACTTATAGTGAAAAAAACTTAAAAACTAAAATCAGAAATCTTGAAATTCAGTCTATTTGTTGCCATAGCAACCAGAATTTTCAACAAAGGAAGATAAGAAAAGGATGTGCATAATTTCCAGACTGCCATCTACCCATATGTCAAGTTTCATAAAAGTATTTTCAATACTTTTTGCGTTATCACTGGATCCAGGTTATGTGTAAAATTTGCCATATTTTCAGTCTATTTGTTGCCATAGCAACCAGAATTTTTAGCATAGGAAAAAAAGAAAAAGACGTGCATAATCTCCATACTGCCATCTATCCATATATCAAGTTTCATAAAAATATTTTCTGTACTTTTTGCGTAATCGCGGATTCCAGGTTATGTGTAAAATTTGCCAGTCTATTTGTTGCCATAGCAACCAGAATTTTCAACATCGGAAGAAAAGAAAAAGACGTGCATAATCTCCATACTGCCATCTATCCATATATCAAGTTTCATAAAAATATTTTCAGTACTTTTTGCGTTATCGCGGGATCCATTTTTGTGGACGGACGGACTGACGGACGGCCAGACAGACGGACGGACGGACAGACAGACGGACAGACGGACGGAGGGTAAACCTAAAGTCCCCTCCGGTAAACCGGTAGGGGACTAAAAAAAACATTGGGATGACATATCTTGAGAAATTCAATGATCACTTGGAAAAAAACAGAAACTCATTGTTTTACGATTGTAAACAAACTGATATTATATACCTGTGTAAGTTTATCTACCGCATTCTTTGACGCATTATCATTAAGCAGACACTTTGGATCTTGAAGAACTGTTATGAACACGTCCAAATAAGAACATAGAGTTGCTTCGTCGACTTCAAGCTTTGAGCTATGTAAAATTTTATTTCGAATGTCCCTCGCCTGAAAAGATTATTATAGTACATGTACATTTGTAAAGAAGGTAAAACAAATTGTGTCCATTACTTTATCAGAATCATGTAAAATGATGTGAAATATACATGTACATCTACATGAAGTTAATATATGTTTTCTACCTAAAGAAATCCTTTGTCTGATTAGATATAAAATTTTAAGGTGTATAAAATTAACCAATGTCTTACAGGTTATCTTTAAACTGAAATAAATGAATGTCAATTCTTAACAATTAAGTATCATCTGTTAGTAATCAAGGAATAAAAATTATTTTTTTATGAAAGCAGACTCATTTATTAAGTATGCGCAGTATTTCGTTTCTTACCATATGAAACCAACTTGCTGTAAGAGGATTCATACCGGACACAAAATTGTGCATTGATTTGTTGTTTATAATGATGCTGAGCAGACCAGCGGCATCCGTGTCTTTGGCCGATGTTCCTGGACTTTTAGTTGTTTGAAAACATTTTCCATAACCCCATCCATGTGGATCGGAACACCACGTACTTGGGTCAGTATTCTTCCATAATGGATCATTAAACACATGGTCATCTATAATTGCGTCGTAGAATTTACTACATACGCCATTAGGGCATTTTCTGCGTCCGCCTGGTTTACTCCCAAAACAGTTTTGCGGGCTTTTTTGATTGCATGTGCTTCTGCTACATGCCTTTTTTGAGTTTAAATGTTCTGGTGAAAGATTATGAGACGTACACTGGTTACATTGTTGTAGTTGCAATGGTAGTAATATCTGATGAACTGCTTTGTCACGGCATTGCAGTACTTTGTCTCCTACAAATTCTTGAAGACCTTCCTGAAAGTATTCTAATCCCATTACACCGCGCACCCAATTGTTAAACAGATCATCAGCAAGTACCTTACTAGCCATTACAGCTCATGCAGGACTCGTCAGTCTGTATTATAAAAAAGTGGTAATAAGTTTTAAACGCCGCTTAAAATTACATTTTCGCTGAAAAACCTTAATCTTATCATTACATATATAATGTTTGTTTGACATTTTTATCAAGGAAGTGTATTATGAAGCTTTTTTGAGAAAAAAAAGAGAAAAAAAAGAACAAAACAAAAAAATAACAAAAACAAAAAAACAAAACAAATGTATTACTCGAATATAATTGTTTTGTTCTTATACATGTAATAAGCGAAGATAAATATCTTAATTATTTAAACTACTTTTTACAACGATAATCCCATTTTAAGAAGTAACAATCTTATATTTCGTGTCCACTTCCACAACAGCCATTGTTTGTGAATGTCACGAGATGAAATAAAATTTCATCTTTCAAAAAGGCCAAGCAAATTTATTTTAAATTACCGCATTTGCAAGTTATTACAGTTACTTGGATATGAAATTTAATTTACGCAAATTCAACAACGGAAAACTTAATTGAAGATTCTTAGAAACAGTAGTAAAAAGGATGTGTATACATTGCAGGCACGAACAGGAAATAAAGCGTACCTTATTTCAATTAGAAATGTTGGGTTAGTTACTTTCTTGCTAAATTCTTGTTGATTTCAATTGTAATTATTTCAGTTTATTAATCTGTTTCGAGGTTGTTATCAATGTTATGCGAGAAACAGGCCTAATAATATTTGAATTTACAGATTATTTGTAAGATTAATGAATTAACGGTACAACACGGGAAATGTTCAAAAATACGTAGTGTCAATTTAAGTCACAAAAAATAATCTATTTCAAATACATAAATTGAGCGCCATAGTCTTGAATGTTTATCACCATTGCAAAAGGTGTTAATTGATAATTACGAAGCTATTAGTCATTATATCTGTCCAAGTTTAAAAATAAATGATCTCATGATTACATCTACTTGACCAAGCAGTAAATTTCAACCGTCTGAGAATGTGCCGATAGAAACTGATAGAACGTGGGGATAGAAACATGTACAAACATCCGGCTCTTCAGATCATATAAATATGGCTGACAAAGCACGTAACTCTTGACGAAAAAATTCAGACAATCAAAAGCTTGATGCCGGCACCCCAGCCTACAAAATTGCTTAGGAAATGGGCGTCGGCAAAACCCAGATACAGACGCTCCGGAAGCGAAAGGCCGACATTTTGAGTGACTTTGAAATTAACATGCTCAATTCTTCAAAACGTTGTCTTTATCTCACAGGTATTTTTTTTCGTTATTCGCTCTCATTGTATTTTTTCACTAAATTGATAGAAAAAATAAAGCAAAGATTTACAAGACAACAATGCCTGGTTTATACACTACACCCCCAAACTTAAATTTTTAACTGTCTGAACTTTGCATGTATGAGCAGAAAATTCATTCCTCCTTCTTTTTCCAGGGAATGAAGAAGAAAACGACCTTACATTGGCATGGTGTCGTGATGTAACGGGAAGAACCATCAACCTTACAGGTCCAATGTTACAGACAAAAGCAATTGAATTTGCCCAACAGCTGGGAAAGACTGAATTTAAGGCCTCAAATGGTTGGCGTGACTCTTTCAAATTAAGAAACAGTATATCATATGGGACCATAAGTGGCAAAAGAGGAGATGTGAATGTAAAAACTGTGAAAGACTGGAAATCAAAATTAAAAACTCTTCTTTTAAAATTTTATATCTATAATACATTGTATTTGTATGCATGTAAACATTTTTATTTTTAAAAACATTTTAACTATAATAAAGTATTTAAATAAAAATTATCTTATATCTTCAACAAACCATATTTAAATATTACATATATGTAACACAAAGAAAACACAATCAAAGAAAAGACAAACAAGTAAAAATAGCATTTTGAAACAACTGATGATTTTTTTTGGGAACCTGGATATGTGACCTTTTTGATATGGTCCCATGGAAAGTCACATATGACAAGTTTTACTGTACATTGTAAGTGAAATTATCTACTTTACAAGAGAGTATCCAATTTTAAGTGATATAAACATTTTGACATTGTTAAAAGATTAGATTGATATATGACTAACAGTACCATGATAGTCAAGGTCATTCTTGATAGGCCGTCATAATTGTGTTGTATTATTATGAGTAAAAAGTCGTATAAATTCGTAATATCAACATAATAAACGAAAAGGAAACAACATTCATGGCTGCAAATCTTCAAATAATAATATAATCAGGAAGAAATAATGCTATACTTATTTGTAATTGACGGAACTAGTCCCAGGACAAAAAACTTATTCTCTTTTCTAACTTTCTTTTTTAGAAAAGTGCAATTAACCTATATATTCTCTTCAAAATCTAAGTTAAAAGAACATCTATTTGACAGGTTTTAACTGGATATTGTTTCCCATTCCAAAATATTTATAAACGTTTATTAACGACATTATGCAATTAACTGGAGAGTTTATATTTTGCCAAGTTTTACAAGGCGAATCAATATTAATGCCAAATACAAGTGATACTGTAAATACTGTATCTGGAAAAAGGTGATGCAACGAATTGAACGAAACTCGCGTGAATTGTATATATCGCAGGATCCTTGACGTGTTTTTATTACTAAATTGCATCTCAGAATTGTTTTATTTTCAAAATTTTGAAATTTCATGTTTAAATGTTATATTCTGCTTAGGCCGGTGTACGGTAGTTTGAACTTGGCAGTACTGTCATGGAACAGGCTCAATCAAATCGAACCTGCAACATTTTCAATTTTGTCGTTTTTGACTTTCTTTAGAGATTCTTATTTTCTATATTTATCTTTATTTCACAATAGCCTTTCATTTTTGATAGTTTTTTTGAAAAAAAAAATGACCAATTACCTGAACTATCTTGTTCTTGTCTTTGCTTTTTAGTAATGACTCAATTTAGTAAATGACGGTCAAAACAATACTTTGCTTACATTTGTGCAACTTGTAACAAAAAGAATTCAAGTTTAACCGCTACTTTCTTCATGTAACAAGTTTGTGACATGTTTCTAATATATATAAAAAAAACCCTGAAATCAAATGAAACGTTTATATCAAAACATTTAGTACACAATCGCTTGATAAAATAAAAGCGCAAACAATCAGTCAGATGATATAATAAATTAAATTGGTCATTTAAATGCTTTATCTTTATTTCAATTTATGATATATATTGTATTGTCGTTATTTTATGAAAAAGTTTTGTTATCTTTGTACCATTGTGTGCAATTGGTCACAAATAAATTATGTAAGAAAAAAGCCCCTTCTAGCCCATATCATTCACACCTGATAAAATTGATATAGATAGCATATTATTCTCACAGTGACATCATTGTATAGATTATTTCACATGTATGTCTGTCCTATATAGAAATCGTTTGTAGGTTTACTTTTGTTAAAAGAATGTTGTTTTTTATATGAAAAATAACAATTTTTAATGTGCTTCAAGATTAATTTTAATGCAATGATCATTTCAGTTAGATTTTTTGTTTGTTTGTTTGTTTTGTTTTTGGTTTAACGTCACACCGACACAGTATAGGTCATTCGGCGACGTTCCAGCTTTACTAGTGGAGGAAGACCCCAGACGCCCTTCCGTGCATTATTTCAGGTACGAACGGGCACCTGAGTAGAACCACCGACGTTCCGTAAGCTAGCTGAATAGCTTCCTCACAGGAAAGAATCCAAAGTCCCTGTCGGCATTCGAACCCACAGCGGTGAGGGGCAAGTGGTTTGAAGTCAACGACTTTAACCACTCGGCCACGGACGCTCCTTTTTCATTTAGATAACCACCAATGGCTCTCAAATACACCAAGTAAAAGTATGTTGTACAAAAGACATTGCATCTTTATCAACAGCTATTTTTTCTTTAAAATTTAATGTAAAAAAATAGAAACAAGAGCATTTTAAAGGTATACTAGTATATTTTTGACTTTAAAAAATACCACATTTTGCAGTACAAAAATGACATACATCAAAGCAATGATTATCATTCAGTCACTTACACTTGAAAATAAAACGTAATTTAAACCAATTTATTGATTATTTGATACTTGCATCTTCTATAAATGTAGTCAGTTTGATACTTTTTCTGTGATACTTTTTCTGGTTGTTTGAAAATATTGTTTGATAATTATCTCTATGTTTAATTCAATTATATATCATTATTTATGTGGTTGTAATGGCACACTCCTCAGGACCTTTGTCGTTTTAAGTTGCACTATTGCATATTATGTTAAGCAGTATAGTTATAAGATTGTAGATCTGTGTCTTCCCGTCTTCTTACATTTCGTTTTGTGGTAGGATACCAAGTTTTTTTTTTGAACTTTCTAAACCAACATTTTAAATTTTGTTATGTTTTTATAGTAGAAATTGAACAAATTACTTTTACTTTCACATAATTGCATTTCTTTTGTTGAAAATCGCATAATTATATATGATGTCTTCAGAATACATCGTTTGTTTTATGAAATTGTAATGCTGTTGATTTGATATTACTTTGTATCTCTTTGTAGAACGTTATTGATAATATTTATAAAATTAGACGTTTAATAATCAAATAAACAAGTTTCAAGTTTTCACTTACAGCTTTTTTTCAGATTTTTGATAATGGACATGTAAATGTTCACAGTGACATCATTGTATAGATTATTTAACATGTATGTCTGTCCTATATAGATATCGTTTAAAGGTTTACTCTTGTTAAAAGAATGTTTTTTTATATGAAATATATAACAATTTTTATTGTGTATCAATATTTATCTTAGTGAAATAGTCATTTCAATTACATAACAGCAAATGCTATGAAATACACCAAGTAAAAGTATGTTGCACCAAAGACATTGCAACTTTATCATCAACTAGTTTTCTCTTTTATAAAAAATAATAAATAAAAACAGAATCACTAAAGAACGCAGAAAACGACAAAATTGGAAAATCTTGTAGGCTCGATCCACGACTCCCCTTGCATCGTTTTAAGCAGAATTCAACATTTAAACA